CCGGCGCCTCTCCCCTCCGCCCCGTCCCTCGGGGCCGCCCCAGGCTGTAGCCTGACACTGGTTTTTGGAGTGCGCGGGGGTCATTATGCGACATCGTCGTTGCTTTAGAGGGGGGCAGCGGGAGCCGTGTTCAAGTTAACGTCTCGGCACGGGACGCTCGGGGTACAGATGATGATTACACGCGACCAAAGCCTGAGAGCTCATGATTGCAGCTTTAGCGACTGATGTACCCTGAGCTTCCCAGCCGCTGGGGTTACGGCGCGGGCCCTGTAGGACTGGGGGTGCTCTGCCCTTTCTAACCAGTGTGTCGTGGTCCTCCGCCCCCCTCCCAGGCTTGACCACTATGCCATCATCAAGTTCCCCCTGACCACGGAGTCGGCCATGAAGAAGATCGAGGATAACAACACGCTGGTCTTCATCGTCGACGTCAAAGCCAACAAGCACCAGATCAAGCAGGCCGTCAAGAAGCTGTACGACATTGATGTGGCCAAAGTCAACACATTGATCCGGTGTGTGAGCGTGGGCGGGGGCTGGGAGGGGTGGGTGGGCCAGGTGGGGGCTTAAGAAGCCCTTTAATGTGTCTGGGGTGCACAGACCCTAGCACCTGGGGTGAGCGGGTGACTGGGGGAGCAGCAGCGAAGGGCCGCTCCTTGTGCAGGTGATGTAAAGTAGATCACAGCTGAGTCCCATGATGCTCTCAAAGGAACCACTGATGCACAAGGCAGTGCAGTACAGCCAGAGGGACAGCCGTGGCTGCAGGCACTGACACTTCTTGCTCTGTTCTAGGCCCGACGGTGAGAAAAAGGCTTACGTTCGTCTTGCCCCAGACTATGACGCGCTGGATGTAGCCAACAAGGTGAGGATGATGTTGTTTTCTGTCCTGCCCTTGGTTGCAGTCATTGCACGGTTTGGTGGTGACATGGGGTCTGCAGGGGCCTGTGGCGTAAGCAGAGAAGCAATTCTTGCATGAAGGGAGTGGCTGACGTGCCTCCTTGAGCTGGGTTTCTGACAGGCTTTGGGCAGCCTTCGTCACTGGGCAGAGTTGTAAGAGTTAATTCACTTGGATGTTTCCCTGGACTGAAGTAACGATACCCGGCAAAGCTGCAGTTCACACACACCACAGGCCTACCCGTGCAGGGGGCTCTGACCACTTGCAATCCAGGGGCCTTGGTGAGGAGGGCAGTGGGGCCCAGGCCCCATGCTGTGTAACCACCCCTTGCTTGTCTAAATTTTCCCAGCACTTGCAGCTGGAGGATTAACTTCCTTGCCCTTCTAATAACTGCTGCGTAGCGCTGCTGGCAAGGACCACCCTGTCTCTATAGCTTTCTTTAGAGAAAGGGAACGATGCTCAAGTAACTTCCAGCAAACTGTCAAACATAAAGCCCAGAGGTTCACCAGGAGGCCGTGGGAATCTTGTGTTTCTGGCATAGGGAGAAGCTGTACGTATAGCGCCAGAGAGACGGGGGTATGCCCCTCTGGCTGTGTAGGGTGAGATGGAGAGGAGTGGATGTAATGTACTTCAGTAGCTGGAGGCTGAGCATCATGGGATGCTGCGTGGGAAAAGTTTGCGTAGGGAGGTGCTCTGCGAGGGTAGCAATGGTATGCTTGGGGGCACCTGGGATGCCATAGAGGAAGGCTGTTTGCCCAGGGCTTGAACTTCTCTGGGGAGGTGCGTGGGGGCCCCTTGTGCCCAGGCAATGCACTAATGTCACCCCTTCTGCTTCCTTTTAGATTGGAATCATCTAAGCGGCGCCCACCAAGAGCTGTACAGAGGAGCTAATAAACTCTGCAAAACCACAGGCAGGCTCTTGCCTCGTGACTGAGCGACCTCAACTCGCAGCAGAGGCCCCGGGGTGGAGGGCAGGCTGGTACCTGGGCTGTTTCAGTGCGGTGAAGCCAAATCGCAGAGGGCTCAGGGGAGATGTGCAGGCACGGGTGGCAAAGAGTATTGCCCCAAAGTTGGGTCAGGGGAGGCAGAAGGGGCTGCTGCCTGGGGGTGTTACAGGAGCTGCTCTGCAGGGAAGTGATAGCACCAACCTGGGGAAGTGGCTGGGGTGAAGTTGCCAGCCCCTTCCAGGTCGCCCAGGCAGGGGCCTTGGGTGGCTGCTATTTCTGCCCTGCCTGTCCCACGTTTGGCTGTTCCTTCTGCTCTGGTCTTTGCTGGACTAGGTTTGCCAACATTCACTTGTAATATACTAATAGTACTGTGTTATTCTGACTATGAGCTGAAGCTGTGAAAGGCAGGGTGGTCTCTCTCTTTGGGAGGGGAAAGGTTTAAGTTAGCAGAACTGCGATGCTGTTCCCACCTAACCCTTAGTCTCAACCAGACCCCCCTCAAAATCTGCGTGAGGGCACTTCACAAGCAGATGCACTGAGCTGCTCTGACACCTTGGCCGGCTGTTGCTGCCCTCGTCTGGCCACAGCGTGCCAGGTGAGGGATCTTTGCAGAATGGCAGTTCATTGCAATGCTTCTGCTGTGGCCAGTGGCTCCTCATCAGCTGCTGCTGGTCCTTGGAGCCTTTTAAAGCTCATGTGTTTTGGGAGGCGCCATGCCCTAGTGAGCAAGCCCGTGGGTCCCCTTGCTCTGGGGCACCTCTGTTCTCCCCGGGCACGGCCCAACTTCACTGAAGCTCAGAGCAATGTGCTAGCACAGGCCCCCAGCTAGGCCCCAGGCCTGTGTGCAGGCAGCTTTCAGCCCAGCTCCTGTTGCTAGCAGGAAGCAGGGGATTAGGATTTAGGGTTAGGGATTCACAGATCTCCTTATTTGAAGCCAGCTTCTTCAAGGGCATGAACAGGAGGTGTATGCCAAGGGCTCCTGGACAGTGCAAGCATGCAGCTGTGGAAGGCTTGACATCCCTGTAAGCTGGGGCCAGCTGTGTGGCAGCCTTCACAAGAAGGCTTGCCCCCATCCCCTGGCAGTTGGATGCTGTGCTTCTGCAGGGGGTCCCAGGCTGCCACGCGGGCTTCTGAAACTGGCCTGCTGCAGATGAGCTGCATGTCTTTGGGGCTGCTTTCCAGGCAACCAGTGCCTGAGGACCTCCAGGCAGTAACCATTCCCGAGTGAGATGCATCCTGTGTGACACCTGTCCAGACATGCCTCCAAAGGCTATGTTTGCTCTGCAGCTGGCAGAAGCTCCCAGTGTTGGCCCTGGTGCCAAGTGTGCAGGTGCAGGCACTGCACACCACAGTGTCCTGTCTGTGTGGGCAGGGGGCAGGTACCCTGGGATGCTCCCTGAAGCAATCTGGCATGTGGGGGAAGAAGATCCTGCTGTGAGACATCCTTCATGTAATGGGGGCAAAGGGCTGGGAATGGAGGAGCTCCAGGATCTGTGCTTGCTCATCCCAGCCCTGGCAGAGGCCTCAGCTACCACTTCTCTTTCCCCAGGGGAACTGCAGCCCTGGCTGGAAACCCCTGTGGGCTGTTCCTGCTGATCCAGCAGCTGCCCTCAGGAGAGGGGCTGGGTGTGCAGCTCCTCCCATCCATGCCCCCGCAGCTGGGTGTGCAGGGACCCTGGGCCTGGCCTGTTTGAGGCTGGCCTGGTGCAGTGGTGGCCAAGTTCACCAGCCCTAGCATCTGCATTGCAATCATCTCCAATGCCAGTGCTTGTTATTGCTCCAAGGGCCAGAGGCCGCAGAGCAGCTCTCCTGGGGCTGAGTCGGCTGATGGACCTTCTGAGCAGCAGAAGTTGAAGGGCTGGGGCCAGGGCTGCTGACCCAAGGCAGCGTCCTGGTGTGTATGGCTTAGCTTGAGCTGGGCCCGGCCGTCGCAGCCCAGGCAGAGCGCTAGTACCAAGGGGGCCCTGCAGCTGGGAGCTGGTGGAAGGGAGGCACCCGGGGAGCCCCCCGCACTCAGGGCAGTGGCAGGGTGCTGCACTTGCGGGCTGTGCCCAGAGCCTGGTGCAGCACAAGCTCCCAGGCTGCCCCATGCTGCTCTGCCCACTTGGCATGCTGGCCGCAACCTCGCAGGGAAGGAGCCCGCGGAGCCGCATTGTGCAGGAGGATGTGTGCACAAAGGAAGTGGTGCCCACTCCCGTGGCTGGGCAGAGCATGTGACTGCACGGCTCTCTACTGCTGACCCCCTGGCCTCCTGCCACCACTCCCAGCCCTGCTCACAGGAGCAGGGCAAGGGGCTCGGGGGGGAGGGCAAGGTGGAGACAGGCAGCTCACACCTCCACCTGCCTCTCAGACAGACAGACGCCTTCCTCCATGCCCAGCTAGCAAACGAGGGCCCCCCTTCGTGGGGCCCTGCCAGGCCCGGCAGCGGAGCAGGTACAGAGTGCACAAAGCTGCCTCTGTCAGTGCTTTGGGAACCCGCCATGCACGTGGGGCAGCCCAGGCGCTCCCAGCCTCGCTGCCAGGGCCACCCCCTCCCCCACACAGCCAGCCCTCGCTCCCCGCAGCCTGCAGATGCTGGGGGCAGGCACACCCTGGGACCCATCTAGGTCACCCCAGAGGTCTCACCCTCCCCCGGGGAGCCCCAAGTTGTTCCAAGAAGCCCCTCTGGCTCACCCAGGGGCAGGGGCCCGGAGCACCCGTATGGTCCCAGGCAGAGTGCAGACAAGCTGCCCAAAGCACTTGTCCCCCGAGGCAGCAACTGTGTGTCCAGAGCAGCTCGGACCCCAGGAGCCCGTGGCCGCAAGTGCTCTGGCCAGCCCCCTTCTGCCCCCGCCCCCCTGGAGCAGCAGTGGAGAACCAGCAGTGGTTGCCTGGCTGGGCTCAAGACTCAGGGAAGGGGGTGAGTGTACAGGAAACCCAGGCCTGCTTTTGCCTGGAGCTGAACCTGATGCAGGCACCTTGCTGCTGGGGGTGGATGGGCAGGAGGTGGCAGCTGCTGAACTGGTTTCTCAGCTCTGCTGCTTGGCCCTGGCTGCCCTAAGAGCCAACCACACCCAGCACAACCATGGCATGAGCTGGGGCTGCTCCATGCCCCAGGACCAGGACCCCTACCGGGGCCATTGTCCAGGGCCTGTCAGCGTGGGGCTGGGAGACGGGCCAGAGGGAGAGACCGCTCCGGAGGCAGCTCCTTGGGACTCGCGGGCCGCAAAGTGAGGGGCAGGCCCTTGGTGAAGGCCACGTACGCTGCTACCAGGGCTAGAGCGCAGAGGCAGACAGACAGAGCCCTGCCCCGGGCACCCCCCAGCACCAGTGCCCTCCCTGTCAGAGCTGCCCTCTGCGCCGCGCGGTCTCAGGGACTGCCCCGGGGAAGGACACACGAAAGCTGCCGCAGGAGCGGTGAACAACCATGTTTAATGTGTGCAACACGCCCGGGTGCAGGAGACCCCCTTCCCCCAGCCCCGTG